TGTTCAATAAAAATGAAGTTGATAAATATTTCCAACATTTTGAGAAGATTGCCCAAACCATGGAATGGCCCACCGAAAAATGGTCATTATTATTACAAATTGTCTTAATTGGTAAAGCACAATTGGTAAGATCAAAATAGCTATTATCAAAGCATATGAGTTAGTACCAGAGGCTTATTGCAAAAGGTTTCGAGGTTATCGCAAGCAAGATAATCAAACTTGTATGGAATTTGCTCACGAAAAAGGGGTTTATTTTGATCGATGGTATAATTATATGCATATTGGCAACAGTTTCGACAAACTAGGACAATTATGCCTAATTTAGGAATTTAAACGTTGTGCAGGTGACGACCTCAAAACGTACTTAGATGAAAAGAAAGTTGAAACACTACAGGAAGCAGCCGTTTTTTTATGATAATTACACTTTAACACATAAAACCACTTTTCATAAAAAGAAATTCCTATCATCTCAACAAAAACCTGTATCTGTTCAATCCATTGAGGTTGAGGATTATTCTAAAAAAACAGCTCCTCTAGTTCAAAAGCTTTTGACAGTCAGGATAAAACTTCTTTAAAACAATCAAGGCCTGTCTGCCATTTTTGTAAAAAACTGGTCATATTATGTCCGATTGTTGGTGTTTGAAAAAAGAAAAGGAGGCAACACCCAGTGCGTTGGTGTCCACATATGGACGTAGTTTCACCAGATAACCCGATGTTGTTGATTTGGCCACCGATATAAAAGCTGATGTAATCAGGCAGGAATTTAGACCTTTTGTGTCTGTTGGTTCTGTGTCTTTGACAAATGACACTGGCAATCCTATACTCAAAGGTATTCTACTTGATACTGGGGTGACTCAATAATTGTTGTTAGAAGGTATATTGCTTTAGATTCGAGTTTTGCCACTGTTGAGTTCAGGGTATTGAGGGTGGCCTTGGTAATGTTGCTCTTTATAACAGTTATTTAGCATCAGACCTACTATCGAGACCAGTTGTGGTTGAAGTAAGACCTACTCTGCCAATTAAGGGTGTATCATTGTTGCTGGGAAACGATTTGGCTGGGAGAAAAACTGTTGCCGAACCTAAAATGATTAGTGAGCCGATTACTGTTTCATCTAAGGATAATATTGTCGTAGAGGAGAATCCCGATGTGTTTCCCTCGTGTTCCGTGACTCGAGCTCAGGCTATGAAATTAAGCCCAAAACAAATGATTGACATGAATTCAGAGAACGATATTACAGATTTGTCCAAGACATTTTCTGGATCCGACGGGTTTATTGTGGACGTTCGTCCTACTTACAATACCTCGGTGAGTGACAATTATGGACGTGAGGGATCAGATTCACCTGGTGAAGTTCTGTTTACTAAGAATAAACTGATTGCTGACCAAGAAAAGATCTGCAGATATCTTCACTATTTAAATATGCACTACCAAAAGATGAACTGGAGAAAGTTCAAAATGGTTATTTTAAAAAAAATGGTGTGCTTATGAGGAAATGGAGACCATCAGATGTGTCAGCTTCAGAGGACTAGGCTATAGTTTACCAAATCATCCTTCCCAAAGCATATCGTTCTGAAATATTGAAAGTTGCCCATAAACTCTCCATGAGAGGTCATTTAGGTGTCAACAAGACATGTGACAAAATCATGAGACATTTCTTTTGGCCAAAAATTAGGCAAGACGTTTCTCAGTTTTATAAAACTTGTCATACCTGTCAGTTGGAAGGAAAACCTAACCAGAAAATTCCTGTTACTCCTCTAAAATCCAGATTTTGAAGAACATAAGTTCCGTTCTGAGGACATTGTCTTGGTATTGGTACCCACTATGGAATATCTAATCAAAAAAAGAAAATAAAGAAAGAAAGAAAGAAAAAGACATAAAGAAAGAAAGGAAGAAAGAGAGAAAGAAAGAAAGGAAGAAAGAGAGAAAGAAAGAAGGAAAAACAAAAACACAACATAAGACTGTTAAATTAAAGTTTATCACTAGAAGAGTATGATTTGGAGATAATCTATGTCAAAGGGGTTGATAACATTTGTGCTGATGCACTCTCACGTGCTATGTAATTGTATGATCATAAGGTTATTTGTATTGATTGTGTTTGTATACTGTAATGATTATTGAAGTGGTATAATCCTTTGAATAATGTATTATATTTAATGTACTGTTGCCAACGTATATGTATATATATAATATCTTAGTTAACAATTGTCTAACACCAATTTTTAATTCTCTAAGGAGGGAGTTGTAACGAATTTGTTATTATATATTCATTTTAATATCGACGTTTATTTAGATTAAATTTATATTCAGACACATACATAGCTTATACTGTTAAATATGTATTGCGAAACGTCCGCCTATTCTCCAAAGTGGTAGAACTTTCTCGAGAGTAAGAATCAACAATATATGTGTGTGTACGTAAACGCTTCTGTTATCATCAGAATTGTTACACAAAACTAAAATTTCTAGATAGCCTCCACGCACCTATAAGTATAACCAATGCGACGCGTCAAAAAATAGTATGTATTATTAGTTTACTATAGTCAGTGTGCTATAAACTTGGAAAACTATAACTGTGATTGTTATAACGCTTATCAATAGGAAAACTTCAGATATTTGACAAGGTACATTTACAAAGTTCGAACATTACAACTCATTTGCCTTCAGTGGATTTTCTTTGGACATTAGTATTTTTTTACTAAAACATTACATAACGTCACGGTGGTAAAATCGGCGTGTGTGGTTGGTGAATAACGAAGGACAAAGCTAGTTAACTCCCCGTTAAGCGAATTATACTTACGTCAACTCGTAATTAACTCGCTCATTGTGAACCCTCGATAAGATATCAGAGAAGTTCCAAACTAGAAAGAAGAGTTTATATTACTTGAAAGGTTGTGAAACTTTTGTTTATAAATTGTTGTTTGTAATAACTATTTGTAATAACTGTTATTGTAAATTGTATTGTTGTTTATATATAAAAACATATTTGTGTTAAAAAAGAAAACTGTTTGTATCAATCTTGTTGGAAAATATCATAAATTGGAGATATATCGGCATATATTTAAATACTAAATCCAAAGTATAATTTAACTACTAAATTCAAATTATCAGTTAACTCAGTTTCAGACCCTTTGAGATTATAATACGTAACAAATCACACTCTTATAAAGTACATTTTCGTATCAGTTTTCATTAACTACTTATATGTGCATCAAAGGGACAATGTGCTGCCAACAATAATTATTAAATAATTTCTTTTTTGCTGGAAAATTTGCGAATCCTAAGATACCACGATTTTTCAAAGTTTAAGTATCAAGATTCTTATGTCACAAGTTGCAGTTTTTAGACCAGACTGTATAAGCAGTAGTAGATTAAAAATTTTAATTTATTTTGAAGTTTACGAACGAAATGAAATGATAATATTTTACCAACAATTTAAGTTTCTGTTGGAACTAATGCATTTTTACTTTAAGAAACATCTACAATTTAAGAGTATCGCAAAATAGCTTTGGAAATCACTTCGTGTTTAAATATTAAAAACTGAACGTAAAAAGCAAACCAAAACGACAAGTCATTAGTCTCTTTTTTTTAAACTCTCCTATTAACCACATATTGCGTCATTTCGAGTTTTTTTGTTACAACATTTACTGTAAGAAAACAACCGACACAAAATGGGTGATTTGAGTCATTTTATGTGTAAAATACATAAAGGAGCCCCGCTTGAGTGTGATTAATTGTAATATTGAAAGCATGTTTATTTAATGTTTTGTGTGTGACGCATATGTTGTTTGGAACATATAACCATTAAAGTATACACACAGGTAATTTGGTACATAGGCAGTTTAGAAAAATGAATTCAAAAGGGAACTGGAACATAGATTTTGCTGGTAATTCTAGGGTTAAATGTTTTAGACATTATGAAAATTAATTGATACAGATTACAGTAAGAATTTGCGAGGAGAAAGCTACAAAGTTTAAAGTCTGAAAGTTCTAAAATAACATTACTTATTACCGAAAAGAAAATTTATTACACTTGTCTGTACTTTATCTATCTATAATAAAGTTATTTCTTTAGTTGTTCCGATATATGCTATTATATTATTCCTATTACAATTTCAACATAGGACAAACCTCATAAGGATTTTATAGAAGTAGAATTAATAACTTAAATGGAGCATACGATATACTTTTTTCTGATATCCCTGACGATTCCTTTTCTTTACACCAGCAAGGTATATTAGCTTTCTGTTATCATAAGATTCTATTCTTCAAGATATAATTTCTAGAAATCTAACCGTGTTCAGGCCACCGTGACTGAATGGTTTCTCGTTCAAGAATGAAAAACTAACACTGACTACCGTAGAGATACAATCGACGTATTTTATAATGTACTGGATTTTTTTTTTCATTGGGAACGTTTCAGTAAACATCACACATGGTTAATCAAAAATTATTTTTAATTTGGTTAAAATTGTTTCTCTTTTATCAAGAGAAAGGAACTAAATTAAATCTGAACAGAGCACATACACACACAGACACACACATATAATTGTTGGTCTATCCAGAAAACGATGTGATAATAATTTTTATGCATTGGCAATTTCAAGCATACTCATTTGTAGGTAGATCAACTAAAAAGATTTTAATAATCGTTTATGTTAAATTCAATTGCTTAAGTTCAAATTAAAGATAAATACTAGTGTAAAACACAGATCCTGTTATATCTTAGTATCCCATTAAATGTTTATAAATTTTTCTTAATTCTGCAGCAGCTAGAAAATATTAATTAGAATACATCTTCACAATGGGTTGAATACAATTAATTATTACTTTTAAAATGTCTAGTAAAAAAATCAACCAACGTCAAAATAAAACGTTTAAGATAAGTAGCTATAAACAACAAGACAAAAATAGTAAAAACTAAACAACAAATACCAGATTAACATTGAAAACATACATTTATTATTATTATTTTAAATTATAAGGATTTAACATTCTTGGAATCTGTTGAACATTAAAAATAATGATATCTTAAAATCTGTTGTTTTTTCGTTTTATATTGTTTCCCTCAAGACTTTGTTCCAAAGGTCCTAATTCATACCTCACAAAATGTTAGAAAACTATTTTTACAGATTAACACACATCTTAGCCATATATATATATCACAAAAAAAACTTTAAAGAAAAACAATGAGCATGTCGGGAAGAATTATGATGGAATGAGGAGGATTATTTTATATCATACTACTGCACTAACATAACAGTAGTTAAAAAGCATAAGCTGAAAGGAACTACAGCTTCAAAAGTTTGAAACGTTTACGTTTATAAGATTATAGCATCCTGGTAGCTGCCATACAGGGCTGAAGAAACAATGGTGAAAGAACACCAGTCAAAAACAATATAAACAAAATTGAAATTGAAAAAATTATAATTCTCTCCCTATTTTCGACATACTATCAATTGGAATTGTATCATCATAAAGAGAAGGTGCTTGAAAAATTATACCACAAGTCCCTACTGCACAAGCAATTGTGAAGATCCAAAGAAAAAGACGATCGAGGACCATAGCAATATACTTCCAGTCTTCAACAACCTAAAAGTATACATACATATAAAGATAAAGGCTAGGATTAGTTTGTTTTACAAATGTATTACACACACACACACACACATATATAGATATATAAACGTGCCCCAAGATAAAAAATATAATTTGAAATGTAAGTGTTTTATAAATTAATATATTATCCACAAATTGTGTGTTACAGAGCTTTTTTTAACTTTGACTATACTACAGAATTTTATTTATAGAACACAATAGTGCTCTACATTTATTGAGCAATAACCTTCTTCCCTGCCAGTGAAATATAAAATAACACATCTTCAACATTTTGCGGATTGGAGAGATTTATTTTTACTTAATTTTTAAATATAAATCATTAAAGTAATCTAGAGCAGTCTTTGCTCAATGAAAAAAACAAGCATCAGTGAAGATCAATGTTCACGCAAGTTTTAATAATAATTTATTTAATGTAGGGAACAAAGTGTAGAATTAATTATTAATATTTCATTCACGAAAAACTTTTTAAATTAAATTTAGGGTAACTGGACTTGAAGCACAAAGACAGATTAAAATATCAGATTTCACCAGACGGAAATAATTTAAAGTGAACAATTTAATAAATTACTTGATTACGGATTGGATGGTTTTAGCGATGTTTGACAAAATGTAACCGATTCTGGAACTAGATACGCTCCAACAATCCTTATAACCATTATAAACTACCTTATCTAATAATATATACAGAAGTAAGTTATCGCTGACATATTAAATTATCATATCTAATAAGTATAGGAGTGTTTCAAGAACTAATTTCCAGTTGGTCTTTTAGAAACAAAACAACGAGTAGAAATGATTTATATAGTTACGATGAATGATACCGCTTCATCACATAATTACAACATCAATCTATCAAGATAGGAGGCTGAAAAAGAAAATGCTAATTGTACGAATAATTAGTTTCTAGTTCTAAAGAGTTATCATATTACAGAAGTTCAAATTTATCGCAACACAAATACATATAGACAATTATATGAAAAGCATTTAGGTCATTCAATACTTTTCAAGTCTTTTACAAGAGTAGCTTCAAAGACAGAAAAGTGTATTACTGTTAAGTAATAATTTTATTACATCTTGTGAGTCTAAATAATTCAAACCATTCAACAAAATGCATTAAGTAATGTTTCTGTGTCATAGTAAAAAAATAATTAAAATATTTGATTTCAAACCTAATGCTCACAAAAATGTAAATAGGAACTACAGATACATATTTGAATTATATTTTCAACTTTTCATCACTACTTATTACTCTTCATGATTATTGCACACAAATAATATATGCATAAATATATTGACTCAATAAACATCCCAAACACAGAAAACAATCATACTTAATGAAGAAGAGAGGCATACATTTATAATCTGTGTATATGTTGTTGTTTTTCAGATTTTTTGCGCAAAGTTACAATCTGGCATATTGTACCTTTGTACAAATAGACTAGAGAAAAGACATCTTGTCAACATCACCCATCAGATCTTGGGCTAAACTTGTCTGATCAAATAGTGAGATTGGGCCGCCTCTCTTATACTGCACACACGACCTTGAAGTACAAAAGTACGTTTTAATGCCAAAGGGTCGCGAACCATGACACTTGGGTTCACAGACTGGGCAACCAAACCACGCCAAACCCAAACTAAAAATAAGAACTCGCAAATATATTCACTTCGTTGCCTTTATTATCTAGCTTTGATCAATAGATCGACTATTTAAAACCAATTATGTGACTTGCGGATATGCTGTTTTATCAGTCCACTTGTAAGAATTACAAAATATACTATACTAGCGAATCCATTAACAGTTTATGGTAAGGTTTTAATTTTTTCTTTCCAAAAACTGTTTCGAAAAACAAAAACGCACACATATGTAATGGTGATGTAAGGAGTCAGCCACTTGTATATGCAAATAATCTTTTATTTTCCCGTTATCATGGTTAGAAATAAAAACAGTATTTGATATACTGTTGCTACTGTAAATTAAATTTTTATCTCACAGTCTTCTTAATTCAAACATGAAGTTTTATTTGTGGACATTTTAAGAGTTACATATCAAGTAACATTAAAAGTTTAGCTGAAACAACTTAGGCCAGGATACCACACTATATGAATGAGTATAAGGCCATTCACATGACACTTTCTGGTTAGTGTCTTTAGTTGTGGAGCAGTTCTCTAAGTACTTTAAAAGAGGTTATTTTCAGTAATACAATTATAAACTTGTCTTCACACGTGTTAATTTTTCTGATGCAGTTCACACCTGTATTATGAGCCTTTACATGTAATAAATGTGTTATTTGAATACAAAGAAAACTATATATATATATAACTGAATTATTTTAAGAAGTGTGTGTTCTACGTGCATGCAATATCCAAAATTATGTGATTTTATCTATTATCACTGACAATGAGGCTTTCATGAATATGATGGAAAAAACAAATATTTTCATTGAGGTACTTACAATTGAATAATTTGTGTCAATCTTTAAATAATAATCACTTGAATAAATATCATGAACTATACAAAGGATTACTAAGAATTACACAAACTTACTGAGCATTGACACATACTTACACTTTCCTCTTCATCTGCCTTTCTAATGTGTTCAGCGATATAGAGTATACTATCAATTGCTCGATTAAGTTCGGGGTGATACTGCCTGTGGGAATGATATATTCTGTGTGCAAAAATATCTGCTTCTTGCATGGAATCGTCAGGACTTCCATGCTCCTGGTAAGTAAAGGACTCAGTTGGAACTGGGTCTGTACTGGAACGCGGCATCTGAAGAAAAGAGTCTCTTCTGACTTCTACTCCATTGCAGCTCCTAGAAAAAAAAGTTGGCTGTTCCCCTTGTTCATCTTGTGGTGTGAGGAGTGGTCTGCGCATGAGCAATAAACGTGGCATAATATGAATGAATACTCTTCTGACCCAGGGAGACATACTGTGAGTGGAGGGCGATCGGAAGTGGACATTAAGGACTCCTACTGTCACAGATATCGACAATGTCACTAATATCATGGTAAAGAGGAGATACTTTCCTAAAAGAGGAACTGCTAATGACGTGGGTGGGATGATCTCAGCCAGTAGAAGAAAAAACACTGTTAAGGACACTAGTATTGACATGCATAGAGAAACCTTTTCTCCACTATCTGAAGGCAAGTAGAATACCAAAACAGTCAAAAATGAGATGCCCACACATGGGATGATCAAGTTTACTGTGTAAAATAAAGTCTTCCTACGCATTGTGACATTGAATGTAATGTCTGGATATGGTTCTGGACAGCAGTCGTAGAATTCCAGATTGTATTTTGCTGGAACAAGAAGAATGTCCCACTCGACACTTTTGTAAAATTCTGTTAAGTCTATACCGATCGGAACATCGTTTGAGCCTGGTTGTTGCTTGAAGTGAGTGAGGTCAACCTACATCAGAAGTTCATGTAAACGATTATTCGAAATACATATAGTGAGCTTTAATAATAATTTGATCATACTTAGTTAAATAATTGATGCTGAGCTTAACATCGTTTGAAATATTAATATAAGTGTGGCAACCATAACCAAAATCAATAACTTACAGTTTGATTAACTACTATCGTATGTACTGATATCTTTTATTATATTACACAAACACATGACTTGTTTTCGTAAGTACAGATAAAAAATAACAATTTCTTAAACACTTTAGATGTACGGAAATATTTAAAACTTTAAATAAAAGCCGTAAAAATATATTCGTTACTAAAAGGTAAATATTGTTTTTAACTCTTCACATGTCACAAAGAGACTTGTACAATTCTCTCATTTTTCACTACAATGACATTTTAGTCTATAATCCAAAATTAGTAAGTATTGTATCACACTAATATCTTAACTGATTTATTATTTTCCCATTGTTACAATACAAGTATGAAAACAAATGTTTAGTAAGTTATCGAAAATAGTTAAAATCAGCTAAAACCAGGTTAAAAAACGAAATACTGTAATTTCTTTAGCTGCTTTTAATTATTTTGTTTTATCTTTCAAGATATTTCTTATTATTTGTCCTCCAATTTAATGTTTGTTATTTTCATAACTTGCGGTGTATATTAAATAAACATAATAATAATAATAATAGACGATTTGATCCTGTTACTTCCTCACCTCTAACCCGTCGTAAGTCCACGACCCAAACTTCATCAAACAGGACTGTTCATCGAAAGGAAAGTATTCAACATCAATTTCACACGTACTTTTGTACATGGCTGGCGGTTTCCATACAATTTCGCCAGTATGATAGACAGTAGCCTTGGTCATTAAGGTCACTTCGTAGTTGCCGTCATAACTAGAATGCCAGTGTTAAATTATCTATATGTAAGTTCTACATATGACTTTCTTATGTAAACTTTTCTTATGAACAATTCTGTATATTTTTATCATAAAATTACAATGAAATTTTAATGTTTTTGACAAATTTTACCATTTATAAATGATATTAGAACGCTTACAAATATAACTTGGAGATCTTCACTTTTATTTTTATGTTTAACGTTTTTGTTCATATTATTTATTTAGGTTGTCTTATAAATAAAGACTTAAACGTAAACTTATTATGTGAAAGAACAGTCTTTAATATTTCGTAGACGAACTGTATGATTCCACTAATCTCAAACTGTGTATATGATATGAGTATCAATATAAAACTTTATAAGTTTTATAATTTCATAATATCAGTGGAAAGTTTTAAGGCTTAAATCTATTGAACAATTTTACGTAATTAAAAAGAAGAAAGTACTTGTTGAATAACACAATGTCAGGCAGCCATATATCTTCTGCTGGAATGTGTATCATCTCCACTCCTCCGTATTCATCTGGATTCCACTGTAAGTTGTAATCATGCCAAGTCTGAAATGAGAGACTAATTGAGGAGTTTCAACCTTGTGAAACAATTAGAATCTTTCAAATCCACAAATAAAACAGACTATTTTGTATAGCTAAAATATCTCACTAAATACATTGACACTAAAACAGCAAACCAGACCTCACATACAACATCCACCATGAGCTGTTTTATTAGAATAAAACGTTGTCAGTTTACTTTTCTTAGTAAAACTGGTCGTTCTAATAATATATTACGTATGGTCTAGTGTGTCTAGTAAGTGTGCATTAACAATGTTTACTTCTGTTTATTTTTCGTATAAATTAATTCTTTGAAATGGTGACTGTTGTCTATATCTAAACAATTTTGAAGCTGAGTTTTGCTAAGTCATTTTATGAGAATTGTACAAAACCATGGATCTAAATACAGGGGCAAATTATTTTGTTTATCTATGACGGTGATGTCACTTACGTTTGGTTGGAACATTTACGAAGTTACTGTTTTTTTACACCAAAGGTTGAGGGTATCTGATTCATTATTTCATAACAGCACCAGAGCATTGACGTGGTAAACATTTGTAGTGATGATAATTAAAATAAATAGTTTTATAAGTTTCCTTTATATTGTATATGTTTTGACATACAATTTACCTTTTTATTATATTGATTTTAAAATAATGGTAATGTTATCATGATTATTAGCATATTACTAGATATTACTTCCTAATAAGTTAAGTTATCATGATTATTAGCATATTACCAGATATTACTTCCTAATAAGTTAAGTTATCATGATTATTAGCGTATTACTAGATATTACTTCCTAACAAGTTAAGTTATCATGATTATTAGCATATTACCAGATATTACTTGCTAATAAGTTAAGTTATCATGATTATTAGCATATTACCAGATATTACTTGCTAATAAGTTAAGTTATCATGATTATTAGCATATTACCAGATATTACTTGCTAATAAGTTTATATCCCACATTTTGGCTATTAATCTGCCGCAGTCTTCAGGAAATTACATGAAAGGACTGTAAGGGTTAGTATGAGACGGTGGACTGGTATACTATTCATTTGTCCGAGGCTTCACCTGTTCGAGCATAGATTAAACAACAATTTGAAGTTTCACGAGGGGATATGCTGATTTCCATGCTAGGTTGACTGATCGTATTATGAATAGGTGGATGTAGAAAACTTATTTTATCTTTTTTTTATTCATTATTTATTTATTTCATTATTTTATAATTATTTCATTTTATTATATGGTCTATTGTAGAAAGATCGGCATTATCTTGTTTATCTAATGTGTTTCTGAATTTTAAGTTTTGTTGGTCTTTTTGCATCACCAATTTATGGGAGTACACATTCATAAGGAACGTTGTAAATGGTATTTTGTTCTATATTGAGTCTTTGTGAAGTTTGGTGTACACTAACTGCGATCGTGGTTTGTTTAGCTTCATGTGTTTTAGCATATTCTCTGTATGTTTTCAGAGAAACCTCTGATATGGAATCGTGTTTGTAATTTTTTCCAGTTCATGTTCTTTATCAAGTGTTCAGGATATCCATTGTCAGGATGATGTATTTTTAATCTTTCTTTTTGAAATATTTGTCATTACCCTTTCTGAAGATTAGACAATATATGACATTTGATTTTATCCTGTTGGTGTGGTTTGTTCTATAGTTGAGGTGCTTTCCTGTTAACTCCAATGGTATATTATATAGATTAGGTGTCATTATCCCGTCTACGAATTGTATTATAATTGTGAATTATCTCGCTGGATGTTGCCTATTCAGGTGGTTTAAGAATTATTTCAGTTATAAACATTTTGATTTTACTGTCTGTCTATCTGTGTATCCTTTTGGTTCTTCTACTTTGTGGTATCGTAGAGAAGA